ACAATGGTACCGATTTTCAAGTAAGCCGAATGATAAGTATGATTTTTCAGATTAGGTCAGTCTATGGTCCACCTTCCGAAGAAAAGTGTATTTTTTCTGTTAATTTTAACAATAGGCCATTTATGTAACAAAATTCTAATAAGCCGAACCATAAATAAGATTTTTTTGAATTAGTCAGCCCATGGTCCACTTTCCGCAGAAAAATGTAGTTTTCCTCTTAATCTTATCATAACACCACACTTGTACCGAATTTCAAGTAAGCCGAATGATAATTGAGATTTTTTAAATTAGGTCAGTCTATTGTCTTTTTCCCAGAGAAAAGTGTAGTCTTCCTGTTATTCTAAGCAAAAGGCCACTTATGTACCTAATTTCATGCAAATCCAGCAAAAATAAAACATTTTCGGTATGAGTCAGCTTTCAGTCCACTTCCCGGAAAGGAGAGTGATATTTCAGTTAATCTAAGTAAAAGCGTTCATATGTATCAAAATTCTAGTAAAGCGAATCATAAATAAGATAATTTTTAATATGTCAATCGATGGCCCACGTTTTACGGAAAGAAGTATAGTATTCCAGTTTATCTTAACAATTGGCCACCTATGTAACAAAATTCCAGTAAGCTGAAACATAAATAATATTATTTTGAATAAGTCAGTCAATTGTCACCTTTGCGCAGAAAAGTGTAGTATTCCAGTTCATCTCAGCAAAAGGCCATATATGTACCGAAATTCAAGCCAAACCAAAAGTAATATTTTTTTGAATATGTAAGTCAACTGTCCACTTACAAGAGAGAAGAGTAGTCTTCCAGTTAATCTTAGCAAAAATCTACCTTTAAAACGAATTTGAGTAAATTCCGCTATTGGTAAAGTTTTTTCGCAAAAGTCAGTCTCTGCTCCTCCTCACCGAGAGAAGTGTTAATCTAATCAAAATACCACATATGTACCGAATTTCAAGTAAGCCGAGTGATAGGTAAGATTCTTCAGATTAGGTCAGTATATGGTCCACTTTCCGGAGAAAAGTGTAGTCTTCCTGTTAATTTTAACAATAGGCCACCTTTGTAACAAAATTCTGGTAAGCCGAACCATAAATCGGATTATTTTGAATAAGTCTGTCGATGGCCCACTTTCCGCTGAAAAATGTAGTCTTCCTCACAATCTAAGCAAAATGCCACAATTGTACCGATTTTCAAGTAAACCGAGTGATAGGTAAGATTTTTCAGATTAGGTCAGTCTATGGTCCACTTACCGGAGAAAAGTGTAGTCTTCCAGTTAATCTAAACAAAATTTAGCGAATTCCAAGCAGAGCCAAAAATAATATTTTTCTGAGTATGTCAGTCAATGGTTCACTTTCCAGAGAGGAGAGTAGTTTTCCACTTAATCTAAGTAAAAGTCCACCTTTAAAACGAATTCGAGCAAATTCCGCTATAAGTAAACTTTTTTAGAAAACTTCAGTCTCTATTCCTTCTCACGGAGAGAAGTGTTTATGTAATCAAAGTGCCACATATGTACCGAATTTCAAGTAAGCCGAATGATAAGTTAGATTTTTCAGAATAGGTCAGTCTGTGGTCCACTTTCCGGAGAAAAATTTAGTCTTCCTGTTAATCTAAGCAAAATGCCACATATGTACCGAAATTCATGCCGAATCATAAATAGAATTGTTTTGAATATGTCAATCGATGACCAACTTTCCATAGAAAAGTGTAGTCTTCCTGTTAATCTTCGCCAAAGGCCATTTATCTATCCAAATTCAAGTAAATCGATCCATAGATAAGAATATTTTGAATAAGTCAGTCGATGGTCCACTTTCCAGTGCGAAGAGTAATTTGGTTTCCCTTTAATTTAAACAAAAATCCACCTTTATATCGAATTTTAGTACATTTCGCTATAAGTAAACTTTTTGGAGAAAGAAAGAAGAAGAAGTAAACTTTTATCGAAAAAGTCAGTCTCTATTCCTCCTCGCGGAGAGAAATGTTTATCTAATCGAAATACCACATATCTACAGAATTTCAAGTAAGCCTAATGATAATTGCAATTTTGCAGATTAGGTCAGCCTATGGTCCTTTTTCCAGAAAAAATTGTAGTCTTCCTATTATTCTAAGCAAAAGGCCACCTATGTACCAAAATTCTAGTAAACCAAATCTTAAATAAGATTTTTTTGAATAAGTCAGTCGATGTTCCACTTTCCCCTGAAAAATGTAGTCTTCCTCTTCATCTAAGCAAAATTCCACAGTTGTACCGATTTTCAAGTAAGCCGAGTGATAGGTAAGTTTTTTCAAATTAGGTCAGTCTATGGTCCACTTTCCGGAAAAAAGTGTAGTCTTCTAGTTAGTCTAAACGAAATGTACCGAAATTCAAGCCAAGCCAAAAATAATATTTTTTTGAATATGTCAGTCGATGATCCACTTTCCAGAGAAGAGAGTAGTTTTCCACTTAATCTAAGCAAAAGCCCACCTATTTATCAAAACTCAAGCAAACCGATCCTTAAAAAAGATTTTTTTGAATAAGTCAGCCGATGGTCCACTTTCCGAAGAAAAATGTAGTCTTCCTATTAATCTGAGCTAAATGCCACATATGTACAGAAATTCATGCCGAGCCAAAAATAATATTTTTTTGAGTATGTCAGTCGATGGACTACTTTCCAGAGCGAAGAGTACTTTTCCGCTTAATCTAAGCAAAAGTCCACCTTTAAAGCGAATTTGAGCAAACTCAGTTAAAAGTAAACTTTTTTCGAAAAAGTCAGTCTCTATTCCTCCTCACGGAGAGAAGTGTTAATCTAATCAAAATACCACATATGTACCAAATTTCAAGTAAGCCTAATGATGAGTTAGATTTTTCAGATTAGGTCAGTCTGTGGTCCACTTTCCGGAGAAGAGTTTAGTCTTCCTGTCAATCTAAGCAAAAGGCCACTTCTGTACCTAATTTCAAGCAAATCCAGCCATAATAAAACATTTTCGGGATGAGGCAGCTTCTGGTCTACTTTCCGGAAAGGAGAGTGATATTTCAGTTAATCTAAGCTAAAGGCCACTTATGAACCTAATATCAAGTAAATCCAGGCATAATAAAATATTTTTGGAATAAGTCAGTTCCTGGTCCACTTTCCGGAAAGGAGAGTGATATTTCAGTTAATCCAAGCAAAAGCCTCCCTATGTATCAAAATTCTAGTAAACCGAATTATAAATCAGATTATATTTAATATGTAAATCGATGGCCCACTTTCCGGGGAAAAGTGTAGTCTTCACGTTAATCTAAGCAAAAGGCCACAAATGTACCGAATTTCAAGTATTTCCAGCCATAATCAAAAATTTTCGGAATAAGTCAGCTCCGGGTGCATTTTACGGAAAGAAGTGTAGTATTCCAGTTTATCTTAACAAAGGTAACAAAATTCCAGTAAGCTGAAACATAAATAAGATTATTTTGAACAGGTCAGTCTATGGTCACATTTGCGTAGAAAAGTGTAGTATTCCAGTTAATCTCAGCAAAAGGACACATATGTACCGAAATTCATGCCGAGCCAAAAATAATATTTTTTTGAATATGTCAGTCAATGGTTCACTTTCCAGAGAGGAGAGTAGTTTTCCACTTAATCTAAGCAAAAATCCACGTTTAAAACGAATTTGAGCAAACTCAGCTATAAGTAAACTTTTTTCGAAAAAGTCAGTCTCTATTCCTCCTCACGGAGAGAAGTGTTAATCTAATCAAAATACCACATATGTGCCAAATTTCAAGTAAGCCTAATGATGAGTTAGATTTTTCAGATTAGGTCAGTCTGTGGTCCACTTTCCGGAGAAAAGATTAGTCTTCCTGTAATTCTAAGCAAAAGGCCACCTATGTATTTAAATTCTAGTAAACCGAATCATAAATGAGATTTTCTTGAATAAGTCAGTCGATGGTCCACCTTCCGCTGAAAAATATGTTTTTCTCTTAATCTAAGCAAAATGCCACAATTGTACCGATTTTCAAGTAGGATTTTTCAGATTAGTTCAGTCTTTAGTCCACTTTCCGCAAAAAAGTGGAGTCTTCTAGTTAATCTAAGCGAAATATACCGAAATTCAAGCCGAGCCAAAAATAATAATTTTTTGAGTATGTCAGTCGATGATCCACTCTCCAGAGAAGAGAGTAGTTTTCCACATAATCTAAGCAAAAGCCCACCGATTTATCAAAACTCAAGTAAACCGATCCATAAATAAGAATATTTTGAATAAGTCAGCCGATGGTCCACTTTCCGAAGAAAAATGTAGTCTTCCTGTTAATCTGAGCAAGAGCAAAATGTACCGAAATTCAAGCCGAGCCAAGATTTATTTTTTTTTGAGTGTGTCAGTCGATGGTCCTTTTTCCAGAGAGAAAAGTAGTTTTTCACTTAATCTAAGCAAAAGTCCACCTTTAAAACTAATTTGAGCAAATTCCGCTATAAGTTAACTTTTTTCGAAAAAGTCAGTCTCTAGTCCTCCTCACGGAGAGAAGTTTTAATCTAATCAAAATACCCCACTTGTACCGAGTTTCAAGTAAGCCGAATGAAAATTAAGTTTTTTCGGATTAGGTCAGTCTGTGGTCCACTTTCCGGAGAAAAGATTAGTCTTCCTGTTGCGGCAGCAAATAAACGTTCGAAAGAATATCAACATAAACGAGTATTACAAACAAGCGGTTTATTGAGTTTTTACATTCAAATCAACAGCACAGTTTTAATATCTAAAATCAAATTATTTTAAATAAAGAACTATTTTAACAATTCAAAACACTTACTCTTCGTTTTTCTTTCTTCAAACGTTCTGTACAACATCTAAAACGGCTAATTTTGTAGCTGGTCTACGCAGAGTACCAGAAGTTGTTTTTATAATGGCTGAACGCACTTGACCATCCGGCGCCGGAAATATCTCTGTTACAATACCGCGCTTCCATTCTCCTCGACGCTCGTTTTCATCACATACAAGTACCACGTCACCAATCTTGATAGGTTCTTCACGTTGGCACCATTTGCTTCTTCTTGTAAGGGTCGGTAGATATTCTAAAACCCACCGCTTCCAAAAAGTTTGCTTCATTTGCTGTAAGATTTGCCATTGCCTACGTTAACAAATATTATCGTCTATACTTGGCGTTTGAACGTCATTTGGGCAACCCAAAATGAAATGATTTGGAGTTAGAGGTTCTGCTTCTTGGTTGTCTAAAGGCAGGTAAGTCAACGGGCGAGAATTTACCAGATTCTCCGCTTCTATAAATAAACTCTGTAGCGTCTTTACTTGAGGTACCTTTGCCTTTAACGTAAAAGAAAGTACTCTCTTTACGCAGCGCACCATTCTCTCCCACGCACCTCCTGCTGATGGATTACCCGGTGAATTGAATATCCATTCTATACCATGACGCGTGCCTTCTTCGACCAACCCTCTTTCCACCAACATCGAGTCCTCTTTACTCGCACTTACAGAATTCGTGTCCCTATCGCTTCTAATTCTAGTGGGAACTCCGCGTCTATTTATGAAATTCATCAAACATATAATAAAAGCATCCGCAGACAAATCTCCAGCCAATTCTGAATGTATTGCCCGTACTGTAAGACATGTGAAAAGACAACCCCATTTTTTTTTTCGACGATGTCCCACGGCTACGAAATAGGGTCCGAAAAAATCCACACCTGTGTAGCTGAAAACTCGAACAAAGGCAGTAAGTCGATCTCTAGGTAATTGTCCCATAAGTGGTGGTTTTGGTTCGGCTCTTTTATTTTTACAATATTGACAATTTTTAGCAGTTGTTGTAACTATCCGCTACGAATACCACGCTTACGTTACCGTAAACGAGTATGCGCCAGTATGCTACTGCGGCGTATGCAAGTTCGCTTGCATCGACAAAAATGTGCAAGTCTATTTTGGTAGTGTCTTTATTGAAATGTTCATGATAACAACGGGAAATATTCAAACTTCTAGCCTGGTCTAAATCTTTATACCAATTATACCACTCTGAAAAAATCTCCTGGGGTATTGGTGATTTCCAATCTATATTCAGGCGCCATAAAGTTTGCAATATAATTTTAGACTTTATGGTTACATTCGCAAGGTAGCCAAAAGGATCAAATTGTAAGACTTAACCCTTCAGCTTTTATTGGACGTCGAGCGCCAGATAGCACATCTTTTGGAACCCTCGAAAACTTTAATATAAAACAAAATCGTTCGTCCATGCATTGCCAATTCCAAGTACCTTTTCAGTCGTCACTTCATTGGAATCAAAGTTCATTATATCTGGGAACGACGATGATGATGACTCATCTGAAAGAGCAAAGCGAACATCTGCACAATTAGACAAGAACCCACGTAGCTCGAATCCGGCCTACGCATTAATTCGCTTGACCATCCTCGAAATGTCTATAGCTTCATCTGCTGTGTCGAAACTATCAACATAGTCGTCCACATAATGGCAATCAATAATCGCGCTAGCAGCCCTCGGATAATCCATTTCAAATTTCTTTGCATTTAAATTCTTTACATATTGTGCCGAGCATGGTGAGCACACCGAACCGAATATCATCGCAGTCATTACATACACTTCCGGTTCCTTAGTTGAATCTCCATTTCGCCATAAAAACCTTTGCGCTTCTTGGTCGGCTTCACGTATNATAGATTTGAATTTCAGTACAGCTAATCTAACCCAGCTTAAAACCCTGAGCAATTTGTAATAGTTAGAAAATTTTTCAAAGTTTATTAAATAAGGATCAATGTCGACAACAAATATGCTTTTTAAACGCCTCTCAACATCACAAGATTGTTTGATACAACCATCGGAAAGGATTGGCCAGCTCGCTTCCGGGTCTTCTAAGAATTTCGGGCCACTTAACCATAGGGAGTCATTAGCAACTTTTGCTTGCATACGTGTAGCATCATCAGCGGGATTCTGTTTTCCAGGTACCCAACGCCCCCAGGTGATATCAGATGAATCCAAAATCTCTGCAATTCTGTGAGCTACAAACTGCTTGCAGCATCGATTGTCCGACATGATCCAACTTAATACTGTCTTTGAATCAGACCAAAATGTTACGTTCTGTGGCTTCACGTCATGACCACTTAATATAATATCTTTTAGGCGAACACCCAGTACTGCAGCCAATCTTGGTACAGACAAAGCTTTAATTGGGCTACATCGAGATTTCCCAGCTACGAATACCAGGCTTACGTTACCGTAAACGACTATACGCAAGTATGCTACTGCGGCGTATGCAAGTTCGCTTGCATCGACAAAAATGTGCAAGTCTATTTTGGTAGTGTCCTTATTGTTCATGATTACAACGGGAAATATTCAAACTTCTAGCCTGGTCTAAATCTTTATACCAATTGTACCACTGAAAAATCTCCTCCGGTATTGGTGATTTCCAATCTATATTCATGCGCCATAAAGTTTGCAATATAATTTTAGACTTTATGGTTATATTCGCAAGGTAGCCGAAAGGATCAAATATAGACATTGTAAGACTTAACTCTTCAGCTTTTGTCGGACGTCGAGCGCCAGATAGCACATCTTTTGGAACCCTCGAAAACTTTAATATAAAACAAAATCGGTCGTCCATGCAACGCCAATGCCTTCCAAGTACCTTTACAGTCGACACTTCATTGGAATCAAAGTTCATTATATCTGGGAACGACGATGATGATGACTCATCTGAAAGTGTAAAGCGAACATCTACACAATTAGACAAGAATCCACGTAGCTCGAATCCGGCCGACGCATTAATTCGCTTGACCATCCTTGAAATGTCTATGGCTTCATCTGCTGTGTCGAAACTATCGATATAGTCGTCCACATAATGGCAATAAATAATGGCGCTAGCAGCCCTCGGATAATCCTTTTCAAATTTCTTTGCATTTAAATTCTTTACATATTGTGCCGAGCATGGTGAGCACACCGAACCGAATATCATCGCAGTCATTACATACACCTCCGGTTCCTTAGTTGAATCTCCATTTCGCCATAAAAACCTTTGCGCTTCTTGGTTGGCTTCACGTATTTTAACTCGGTGAAACATTTCGCGTATGTCAGCACACACACCTATTTGACCCTGTCGGAACATAAATAAAATTGACAACAAAGGTTTCGGTTGATAAGCTTCAGGCCCTTTCATTAACCTTGTATTAAAAGACACGTCATTAATCGAATACCAAACGCCTTTTATTTTCTTTATAAATATTGCAAACTGCAAAATGTGGCAAATACCATGTTTGAGGACAAATCTTCAATGCCTCTGAATGCGATAATTTCCTAGCGTATGATTTGTTTATATACTCAGCTATTTTGTTATTGTACCATTCGAAAAATGTTTTGTCTTTTGATATTTTTGACTCAATAATTTCAAGACGTCTCAGTGCCATATTGTAACTCTCAACAAATTCTATTTCATTATAAGCCCACAACAAACCAGTTTTATATTGCGTAGCGCTTTGTTTAGTTGTTTCGAAAAGAATTGTTTGAGCCCTTTTATCGGCTTCGCTTATTACCGGCTGTAGTGGTTTCACACCAAAATTGTCTATACTAAAATACTCCGCCATTTGTTTTTGTATGTCTCTCATCGTACTTACGTCACAATCAATACGACACACAACTCCGTCAGCACTTTCTTCATTAGAACCAAATAGTATACAGCCTAAATTAGATCTATGAATCGAAAAACATTCATCAAGATTAATTACTTCTAACGGTCGAACTAAATTTATGTGTGGCATGCCGATGAGCATTCGTGGAATAGCATTCTCATAATCATCAACTGAAATATCATTTGATATCTTGTATTTCAATTTGAAACTATCAAAATTTAATGTCTGCGCTGGTAATTCAAGCTTCTTCGTTGTACGTACGTTTCTTATTTGATAATATGGTATATTTTCTCCAACACCTGTAACTTCTAAGTCTATATGTTGCGAAAGTTCGCTTGTTGTTTTACCCCCTATCCATCTAAGTGACAATAAATCTTGTGGTCCTTTCAAACCGACAGCTTTGACAACACTTTCCTCGATTAACGAAATTTTTGAACCATCATCGATAAATGCCATGACTTTGCATTTACCTCGGGGCCCTTTTATTTCAATTGGCAAAAATTTAAAAAGAGTTTTTTTACTAGATTTCCCTTCGAAAATGGTATGAACACTACTGGTTTTATCTACCAGCTGTTTTCGAAAATCTGTATCTGTACTCGAAATTGGCTTTGAGTTACCACCCTCTTCTTTAACACTTAAAGTTTCATGGAGCAATCGGTTATGGATTCTTTTGCATGAATTAAGACCACACTCACGACGACTTGTACAATTGGCAGCACTATGACCTGAACGAAGGCAACAAAAACATAAATGGTTTTCTTTTACAAACTTCCATCTTTTGTTACATTCAATGTCTTTGAACTTTAAGCACTGATATAAATGATGATTATTTTGGCAGTAAGTACACTTTATTTCTGTCATTACCAACACTAGCCTTGCAGACTTATTCGGTTTCGAAATCAGCTGATCATTTACATTCGACATCTTTTGTGGAATAACATCTGCTGCTATTGAAATAAACATTGCTATTTCTTGCAGCCAATTATTAAAATGTTTTACACTTGGATAGGATAAACTCAAGGAAAAAACGTATATCAGTCAATTTAATCCGGAAATAGGTGGGAAGACACGAGCTTTAGTTATTTGACTACGAATTAATAGTTGTGGACGTCCAAAATTAAATTCCAGTGTGGATATCACATCCTTCACGCTTGATGGATGGATAAGCAATGATTCTACTTTTTGTTTAGCTGACCCTTTCAAGGCTTTTTGTAGACGAAACAAATTCTCTAGATCGGTGTACATANTATGACCTGAACGAAGGCAACAAAAACATAAATGGTTTTCTTTTACAAACTTCCATCTTTTGTTGCATTCAATGTCTTTGAACTTTAAGCACTGATATAAATGATGATTATTATGGCAGTAAGTACACTTTATTTCTGTCATTACCAACACTGGCCTTGCAGACTTATTCGGTTTCGAAATCAGCTAATCATTTACAATCGACATCTTTTATGGATTAACATCTGCTGCTATTGAAATAAACATTGCTATTTCTTGCAGCCAATTATTAAAATGTTTTACACTTGGATAGGATAAACTCAAGGAAAAAACGTAGCGAGCCCATTCCTCACGTTTGCTCATAGGAAGTTTACTCACCAATCGGTCAGTTTTAATCCGAAAATAGGTGGAAAGGCACGAACTTTAGTTATTTGACTACGAATTAATAGTTGTGGACGTCCAAAATTAAATTCCAATGTGGATATCACATCATTCACGCTTGATGGATGGATAAGCAATGATTCTACTTTTTGTTTAGCTGACCCTTTCAAGGCTTTTTGTAGACGAAACAAATTCTCTAGATCGGTGAACGTATACATGGAAGTAGTTTCTTTAAAAGCTGCAAAGAACATTGGCCATCCTTCTGGCGATCCATTAAACTCGGGCAAATCTAGAAGTTTTCGAATATGTGGAGGTTGTGTAGTTATCGATTGTGACAGAATGTTAGTTTAAGATTCACGCAATCCTACGTTTATATGGCTAAAAGCAAACTGGGGATGTATTCCATAAGTATTCGGCGGATTGTTGGCAGTTGTTGTGTAAGCGATATTACTGGACAAGTTATTTAAGTTAGGATTGACAAAATAGGTGCTTCTGTCGGCGTAGGTGGCACAATTCGGTGGTAATCCGGAATGGTTGACTTTTAGGTTTCTGATGGCCATTTGTTGGTAACTATTACCACTGGCAAAGGTAACATTGCTATTGGGAACTATATTTAAGAAATTACTGTAGGCAGAGGTTATATTGGCATCCGAACGAGCGGTTGAAACATCGGTAGTGGTGGCAAAGTTACCACTTTCTACGTTGACGTTGGCAGAGAAAATGTCGGCAGGGTTAGTGTTGGCAGAACTAACAATAGCAGAAGTTGCACTGGCATAGGCGGTATTGGCATGAATGACGTCGGCAGAGTTTACGTTGGCAGAGCTGATATTGGCAAATTGGGGGTTGATAGAGGCAACGTCTGCAGAATTGACGCTAAATTTAGATTGTATGGCAACATAATTCCTTAAATCTAACTTTTTCTCAGACGCTGCTAATGAGCGTTGTAACTCTAAGATTTGTTTCTGTAAATCACTTATGGACTTATATGTTTGTGTGGGCATGACGTCCATCTCTCCTTCGCTGGCTGATTCCATCTCAGTACTTCCGTGTGACGAATCCATGTGATTATTTGGCAATTGCTTTGGCGTTTTCTGTATTTTGCTTCGAAGATTGTAATGATTCATTTGATTCTTGTCTCAGTAGGTTAAGTTGCGATAAAAAATATAAGAAAATGTTGCGGCAGCAAATAAACGTTAGAAAGAATATTAAAATAAACAAGCAGTTTATTGAGTTTTTACACTCAAATCAACAGCACAGTTTTAATATCTAAAATCAAATTATTTTAAATAAAGAACTATTTTAACAATTCAAAAGACTTACTCTTCGCTTTTCTTTCTTCAAACGTTCTGTTCAAAATGAATTTAAAATGAAGTAGGTGAATGCACATATGAGCGCTTCGTTAAAATTTGAATCTTTATAACGAAATAAATTAAAGTGATACCATACTAAAAAATTCAGTAATGTTTTAAAGTAAATGAAGGTTAAGAACATAAATGTAAAATTGAATAAATGAAAATCTTAAGTTTTATCAGCAACACCGTAAAAAGTGTTTTTGAATAGGCAGTCTTCCTTTGTATCAAAATTCAAGTTAATCCAACCTCCCGGTGAGAAGAGTAGTCTTCCTATTAATCTAAGCAAAAAGCCATCTAATCACCGAATTTCAAGTATATCAAACCATAAAATCATTTGGATAAGTCCGTCACTGGATCCTCTTCTATTAATCTGAGCAAAAAGCCATCTAATCACCGAATTTCAAGTATATCGAACAATAAATTTTTTTGAATAGATCCGTCACTGGATCCACTTTCCGGAGTGAAAAGTAGTCTTGCTGATTATCTAAGCAAAAATACACCCATGTCGCGAATTGCAAGTAATTCGTTCCATAAATTAATCTTTTTGTGAATAGGTCAATCCGAGGACCACTCTCCGGAGAGAGGTGTAGTCTTCCTGTTAATCTAAGCAACAAAACACCTATGTACCTAATTTCAAGTAATTCAATCCGTTTAAAAGTTTTTATTTTTTGGTTGTTGCGATAAACTGTAATGGACCGCTTACCCTGGTAGTAATAATTGTTCGTCAAGTGGGTAGAGACTGGCCCAGAAGTAGCCAGCAGCAGGCCTACCGAGTAATGTCGTGTTTTTTAATATATTTAGTTGATTAAAAAATTTTGTTAATAATTTTTATTTAAATATTTTTTTTGGATTTGTTTAAAGTTATTGCTATTAAAATAGTTTCTGTTAAAATTTGTTTGTTTCTTTTTAATTTCGTGTGGTTGGGATCTATTGTTGCTTTCGTGATAGTGTCTGTTATTGTGCAAGTATTGGGCAACTCGAAAGTTAGTAGTATTTTTTTATTTTCGTGGATAAGACGGCGGTCGAGTCGAAACTGGAGTAGATAAAAAATAGTAATATTATCGGTTTCGGGTGGAGGAAAGCCATAGCCTGTAGCGAAAGCGATGACAAAAATCGAATGGTGCTTATCGCGATTAGGACGGGCGCGACCAGAAAACATCGGCGAGATGACAAAGCAGATGGCGCTGAAGAGCAAGTTGTTGCTCCGTCTCTCCGAACTGCAGGAAGCTGTCGATAGCAAACAAGCCGAAGAGGAAATCAGTACGGAGTGGAGCTGCAATGAGTGGTCGAGGAGACAGTCTCCGAAGCCGTTGAACTTGTCAAAATGTTACGTTAGTATGTTATGTTAGGAGATTTCTGTCATATATCTTCATAGTGTAAAAAGGAATTAAGTGCTACGGTTTCGGTATACTTGGGGTCATGAAGCGGGACTGCCCGGCAAGTGTAGCAAAGCCGAGTGGCGCTCAAGGGGCCCAACGAAGTACGGCTTCCGGTGGTGAGCGGAAACACAACCCCTTCCGTTCAGGGCCCGTGAGAAAATGAAGGTCGGATGACAAAATAGGGAGTTTTCGGTCGAGCGAAAGGGTTATCAAGCTCCTACAACAGATCGGAAAAGGCGAAATTGGCTCCTGGGACAGCCGGACAGGCGGTCTTGAGGCTAGGTTGGTGTTTGCATTAATGACGGACGGTCATGACGAACACCCTTATTTGGGTGTAAGGATACATGGATTTTCTTCTAGGGTTTTGTTGGATTCTGGTGCGACCAGAACAGTAATAGACTAGGTTGGCAGAAATTGAGTTCGTATTGTATTAAGGTGAATTCTGTTTCGAATTGTTTGAGAGTATGGAGGTCATATCTCGGTACTAGGTTCGGTTTTGTTGCCAATAGAGTTGGAGAGCAAGTCGGTTCTCCTGAAATGCCTCGTGTTTTCCGAGTTACCTCAGGGCGTAATTCTTGGCATCGATTTTTGGGCGAAGGCGGATATTACCCCAGATGTATCGAAAATGAGGTGGTCGTTTTCTCGGCCGGAACCAGAACCGTTGGCATTAGTGGACCACTCCGAGCTAGGCGATAGAGTGTCATTTAATAGCAGGTGCGTTCCAGGTTATGCCGGAAGGGCTAGGCCGGACCCATTTGGTCGAGAATAAAATCAGGGGAAGGAAAGACGTCGAACGTGTGAAATAGAGGTCCGTCCGTCATACATTCGCGTATGGACTAGGAGATTAAGGATATGCTCGACAAAGGGGTGACAGAGAAATCACATAGTCCTTTAATTTTGAGAAGCACTTAGAGATTTTAAAAGACGTCTTTGATAGATTAGCTAGAGCAAGACAAGTATAATATAATTTTTGTAGGTCTGAGTTAAAATATTTTGGCTACATGGTGGACAAGAACGGTCTTTACTTAGACCCCGAAAAGGTAGAGGCGATGCTTAGGACTGAGACACCGAAGAACGTGAAGCAGCTTTTGTCATTTATATGAAGAATGTCTTGGTATCGCAGGTTAATTAAAGATTTTGCGGAGCTAGTTAGGCCTCTAACCGATTTTATGAAGAAGAACCGAAAGTTCAATTGGACTGAAGATTGTGAAAAGTTTTAAGGAGACAGCTCCGGTTGTGAGCTGCTCTGGTTACGATAGGCCTTTTACAATCCAGGCAAACACCTTGGATTTCGGTGTAGGTAAAGTAATAACACAAATGTTTGCTGATGGTGAGAGGGCTATAGCTTATTTGAGTAGGTCCTTGAACAAAGGCGAGCGAAATTATTCAAGGAATGAAAAAGAGTGTCTAGCGGTTCTGTGGGCGGCTGAGAAACTGCGGCTATATGTTGAGGGCGCTAAGTTTACGGTCGTCACCGATCATTATTCACTTATTTGGTTGAATAGGTTGAAGGATCCGCGTGGTAGATTAGCGATATGGGCCTTGAAACTCCAGCAATATAATTTAGGTATTGAACATCGGAAAGACTAGAAACATGTGGTTCTGGATATGCTATCCCGTAGTGTGCCAATTATTGCTGACGTGACTACTACCGACCCTTGGTTGGCAAGGATGACCCGGCTGGTAGAGAAAAAGTCTCTGTCGTATCCAGCGTGGAGAGTTGAAGGATGCCAGGTTTGGTAGGTCGAAATTTGCTTCTGTTTATGGCGATTCGCCAAAACAGAAAAGAGTTATATGGCGTAATGGTTGATATGAAATCCTAAAACAATGTCACTAAAGTCTGTTGGCCGGCTATATGGGTGTAAAAAAGACTTTTGCTCGTGTTTCACAAGAATTCTACTGGCCAAGCACGAAGTCGAACAGTGCAAAGTATTTTAGGGCGCTTAAAACTTAGCAGTCAAGCCTTGGGAGTTTGTTTGTGTACATCTGGTAGGGCCTTTAGTGAATTTGTCACAGCTACCTACCACTATATTCTAATATCAGTGGACTATTTTCCCAAATTCCCCCTCCTATTTCCTTATTTCCGCAGC